AAAAAAAAAAAAAAAAAAAAAAAAAGGGAAGAAGAAAAAAAAGACAATTAGCGACAAACGAAGAAGACAACAACCCATGCAAGATGTTGAAATCACAAAAATGAATGTTGCTCACTTCCTTCAGCTTTTCCTAACATAAAGATCGGTAATAATAATAATAATAATTATTATTATTTAAAAAAAAAAAAAAAAAAAAAAAAACTGGAAGACCATCCTACGAGCAAGGGTCAATCTGCGCACCTCAACCGCAGCATAACCAACCTTTTTTGACCGGCCCCACCAAACTATGCATCTACCACTCGCAAATGTCGTTACCCAACGGAAAAAAAAAAAAAAAAAAAAGGTGACGAAACGACACTGAGGAGGACCAAAACATTTTCACCTACTTAGGATTTGCTCCGGCTGTGTTTGCAGGACAATCACAATGGAAGATTTTTTTCGAATTCTCCTTAGGCACCTCATCTACTCCCCATTTAGATTATTTGCAACCCTCCTCCTTTCCCTTCCCCTCAACCTACTGCTCCAAACTCCCTCACCTAAATCTTGCATCTTTTTCTTTCTTTTCTCTTTTATACTTCTATTCTTTGTTCCCCCTCTTTTACTTTGCGACTTTGTCTTTGGAAAATTACTAAACAGATCGGATATTCTAGACCACTTTGGAATCTTAAAAAAAAAAAAAAAAAAAAGATAAACCAGAGAGCGGCGATACAGAAAAGGAAAGACGCATATGAATTTTTCCAACTGCGATAACCAGTACTGATAATTTTTTATCACGAAGCGCAATCTCCAGCAAGTCACTTTACTGAGCAACAATGAAAGAGTGTCCTCAATATATCCTTCACCACCTCATCTACTTCCCACTCACTTCCTCTCAAACACTGCTCAACAACTTCCCCACCAGTATCCCGCATTCTCTTTTCTACTTTTCCTCTCCCTCCTTTTATTTTGAGAAATTACTAAACATATCAGATATTCCCGCCCATTAAAAAAAAAAAAAAAAAAAAAAGAGAAAAGGGGGGATATGTTCTTTGAAGATACATATGATCGGCAACTTGACAGAGCAACATTCGTAATATGGGTATATAGAGTCACACAAATATAAGATCGAAAAAACAATTGAAAACATCGACAAACATAATTTTCTCTTTTATCCAGTTCTTGTGCAGATGGATCCTTGGTTGAACACTTTACTCACTGCATCTGGACCCCAGTCAGTAATCGGTGTCGAAGTATACACTGTCCTCCCTATCCTACCTCCAACATTTACACCTGCAAAAGTTATAGAATGTACCAACCCCATAACACATAACCTTAATGAACTCCTCTTCACCGTACAACCATCACACTCTGAGGAAATCCACCGAGTGCATGTTCATGCCATCAAATTAAAAAAAAAACTACCCCCTCCTCCCTCGCAACCCGTACCCCCTAGTGCCCCACCCTCCCCAAATACTAATTTCTTTCCCCCCCATCTTACCATTCCTCCTTCAGATTCACCCTTATCATCTTCTGTTCAACTCCCCCAAGCAGCCATCCAAGCTTTCGAACAACTCAAGCAGGAGATGACACTCAAGATGGAAGAAAGCAGGCTATCTATCGAACAACTAAAAAATCGGTTTATCGAGAAACCAGAAGAAAGTACGGCGCTGAACCAACTTTTCCAAAAGTTGCAATCTGAGGTGGACGGAATTCAGCAGAAGCTCAATGGAAATATGAAGGACTTTCAGCATGGAAGACAACATTTGTCTCCCCTTGCTACTATTCTCAAATTGAAGCCTATATTCGCTGCCTTACGATTAATATGAACTACTCTTACTATCCAATTGGCAACGCAATGGCTTCCGACTTTGGTGCAAGAGTGACATCTGTCGCCAAGGATTGTCTCGAGCCCCTCATTTCCATGAATGTCAAACACCTCCTCAACAAGGCAATGAGGCAAGGAATGGACAAGGCAACACCTATCATCAAGTCCGAATATAACTACGTCATGAATCTCGTCAAGCGAGACGCCCACAGGTAAGCAAAGGGCCGTCGCCCGATGCATGCTATTTATCGGCCCTGGACTGTCAATAAGTCCACGCCATCTGCTTTGTGGGGCTTATCCTTTAATTTTTTATGTTGCAGATTGAGAATTTCTGAATCGTAATCTTCAAGCTATCGCAAGAAGGACGACCCCAGCAAGTCTGACAACGGGAGAAAATCCTCAACCAAGAGACACTACGAAGATGACAACAAGGATCCAAGAGGTCGCGCTCAAATTTCGACAACAAGCACCCCGACCAACAAAGATCTTCAGTTGCCGATTCAACTTGAGATGCCGAATGAGCTGCCCCCTTCCTAATTCCTTCTCTCCCAACTATCCTCTCCAATCTCTCAACTCCTCCATCAATAGTCGATCTTCGTCTCGCTACCTTCGCTCTCCGGGAACCTTCGTCTTGGTTAAGAAGCCCCGACAAACTCTTCGCAACCTCTCCTTCTAAGCACTTCTCTAATTGGTCCCTCCTACTCTCTTCGTCCTCTAGAGGATACTCCCATTCTGTCCTTCAGTGGGTTCGCCACGGTGTTAGACTCCAGTTCAACAGCACCTCCCACGTTCCAAGTTTCCAACATTAAATATCATTGAAGTTAGAAGAATGGTTAAAACCGTACTTTCAGCATCGTGTTTCAAATCCGCTCTCAAACTTATTTTTTCACCACCTCTCACAATCCCCAACCTGTTAACCTCACCTCTTCACACTCAATTCATTTCAAGATCTTCAACCGTCTCTCACCTTCTCTCTACAAGAGTCATAGAAAGTTCCACAAACCCAATAGTAATCAATCCTGTCTTTGCAACAAAAAGTTCCTCTAAAACTCGCTTTATTATGGATGTTCGCTTCGTCAATCTCTTCACCACCTTCCCACCTTTTCACTATGAATCCATTGATGATGCCATCGCCCATCTTTCTAACTCACCAACCTAAGACTTCTTCACTTGCTTTGACATTATGAACGGATACTATCACATCCCAGTCCACCCTTCCTCTCGCCCATACCTCGCTTTCAACTGGAATGGAATCAACTACCAATTTACAACCCTATGCTTTGGTATTTCCTCTGCTTGTTGGATCTTTACTACTGTGATGCAAGAAATTATGGTAGAAATCAGACTATGAAATGTCCTCGCAACTTCATACATCGACGACTCTGCCCTAGCCAATAAGAACCCCCCACTCCTCCTATGACAAACTTTTAACTATGTAACCTTGCTTCACAACCTAGGTTTCTTTCTTAGTGCAACCAAGTGCTATTTCCTGCCCTCTCAGAATATTCGCTTCCTTGGATTCATCTTAGACTCCCACGCAAAGCGAATCAGGGTTCCCGAAGATAAAATCCACAAGATCCTCAACCTCATTCAGTCTTCTTCTAATCCTTCCAGTAGATCAATTGCTAAACTTGCAGAAAAGTTTGCCCTACTCTCTAAAGTATTCCTACCCACCCACCTCTACCTTTCCTCACTTAGTCTATACGAAGTCATTTCTCCGGCAAATTGGGATTCCCCTATAAATGTCTCTAACGACCTTACCCTTGACCTAATGAGGTGGATAACGCACTTACCCCACCTACCAAGAAAACTTTGGACTGTACGACCCCCTTCTCTCACAATTTTCACTGATGCATCTGCCACTAAAATCAGTGCAATCATACACCCCGTTCTCTCTGAATCAATCACCCTAAATCAATGTCTTCCGCAACCTCTCCTTACTTCATCCTCAACTCACAGAGAATTATTTGCCATACTCGAAACCTTCAGATTCCTCGCCTCAAACCATCCTTCGCAACTTCATTCCGCCTCCATCCGACTTCATTTTGACAGTCAAGCAGCCACAACATTACTTTTTCGAATGAAATCCACAGATCACTCTTTCAACCCTTGGCTACGAGATATCGCCTTCATCCTCGTAACATTCGATATTCTCCTCAATTCAGTATGAATTCCCAAAACTCATAATGCACTTGCCGACTCAATCTAAAAAACCGAGGACAACACAGATTGGGGTATAGCCGACCACATCCTATCTACAATCTTCTCCGAACTCGGGATTCCCGCCATCGATCTATTTGCTTCCGACTTCCATCACGTCTGTCCAAACTTCATCTCCAGGAAATGGTCCACTAAGGCATCTCAGGTCGACGCCCTCTCATTCGATTGGAACCTTCTACCATCACAACCCTACCGCTGGATTTTCCCTCCAACAACTCTCCTACATCACACCCTCCCTAGAGCACTCGCTAGCCCAACTCACTATCTCCTCATCCTTCCTTCCTCCCAACGCACCTCATGATATCCTCTCGTATTATCACTCAACATCCTCAACTGATTCACCATCCCGGAGTCCACATTCTTTTGCCTCCCAGTCCCAGGGTCAACTCGCGCATCCCTAATCCTGCCATACTCGGCCTCACAGCGATCTTCTTCCGCACCTAAGCTCTTTTCTCAAATTCTCATTTTCCACCCTCGCCTCATTCCATATCCATACCTCATAAACGTCCTTATGCTGCTCCACGTCCCTTGTCTCATCATCTCCCCTAAACTCCAACCATCTTCTATCCCTGCTTGAACCCCTCCTATCCTAAAACTATGCCCACTCTCTCCCTCACACACACCTGCCTCCTCAAACCACTTCTCTATACGTTTGTTAAAGCCACCCCCACTCATCGGCCCCTCACCTCGCATCGGTCGAAATAAGTACCCTTTCCTTATATCCTGCCCCAGTCGACCAAAACTCTCCACCATCTTTGGTAACCAACCCAAAAACGTTTCTTCATCACTATGCGGATCTCGTAACCTAATCGTAAATTGCCCACCCTGTCGATCAGTTTTCGTATACCCCGGCTGAACAACCCCTCGTTCAAAATTTATCTCCTTATATTGTAATCTCAATCCCTCTCCGCATCTTTGCCAACTTTCCCACAGATATAAAAATGCCCCACCATCACGATAAGCCTGCGCTTCCGGATAACCCTTTAGCACCTTCATTTTCTTCCGCAAATATGTTATCACTTTCATTAACTTCTCCCAGCTCAGTGGACGAGCTGATTCCTCCACAACCCCCCTTTGCAGCAAGTACTCCCTATATGCTTTCCAAAATGCCCGAACTCTGCTACTTTGACATGGATCCCCATCCCCATCCCTTCCAAGCAGCCGAAAGCATGCATTCAAACAATTAATAACCACATCTACGGTTGTTGGCGATACAAGTGGAAGACCTTCTGCATCAGAAGTTTGGCATCGACCGTCTACTTCGACAAGCCATTGACTGCTGATAAACGATATCACATCCAAGTCATTACAAGTCATGCAATCTCTCCCGACTTCATTTCGCTCTAGCCATTCATTCAGTGCAAGAAGCAGCTTCTTCATACCACTTCGCCATCGCCGATCTGCTCCATACTCCCCGATCAAGCTGCTGCCCCACTCAAGACCGACCTCATATCCACCCTCAACCTCAGGAGTCGATCGTTTTTGCCTCAGGCTTCCGTCGCTCATTCGTTCGTTCCACCATTCCCTGCAAGACGACAAGGTCACTTGCGGGACGATGGAGGGAGATGGGCGGTTTCAGGAGGTGTGCGGGCCTGCGGCCCCACCTTCTTGACTCACCTCTGTGCGATCTGGCCGCATCTACGACTTGTTAATTTTCTATTTTATCTGGATAGGACTTGTGTAGCATTGTGCCTTCAACAACCTTTCTCATGCATACTGCCCAGACGACACATGTCCAACAATGCGGTTATCCTCGATCGATATCAACTGACCGAACCGGTTTGCAGTTTTGGTTCCATTCCCGGGACTCTCACATTTGGGACCATGCATCTCGACCGACAACGCCCTACATCCACGACCTGCATTCATTACCTTTTCCAGTTATTAAAATCTAGAGCCTACAAATCACTCAACAAATATCAACGGTTTCAAGTGGGACGACTTGACACTTACCCAGGTTATAGCACGGTCTCCCCTGTCCGGACGGTCCCACTGCTCTGGCCAGCAACGTTATAAGTAACAGGTGACTGGCCGACAACAATAGCTTGCGTGCCCTCATGTGCCACGCCCTCTAGCGCCCAGCTGCTTGCAACATTCATTGCAAATGTCTGTGCGCACGCCACAGAAGGGTCAGGTCCCACAGTCATCGAGTCCTCTCCTCGCCTTGTTTTGGCGAAGCGGTCCTGCCCGCCCTCGATTTTCCCGCGGTTTTAGGAGGTGTGCGTTCCTGCGACCCTACCTTCTTGACTCACTTCTGTGCGATCTGGCAGCATTGACGACTTGTTAATTTTCTATTTTATCTGGACCAGACCTGTGTAAGATAGCACGTTTGTCCCCCCAATTGGCATTAAAAAGTAGTCTCTGCTAATGTTCATAGGGGGAGGGGCAATCGGGGAGGCACAACGAGTGGCCACTCTGATGATGCTCGGTCCCTTTGCCACCGACTGTCCCCTGACCGGTGTCCTCCGTTGGGGTTTCCCTGAAGACAATCAAGGCCACCCTAGGCTGAAAAGGCCACCCGATGTCAGATTAGACACAATATTGAATTTACTTGGGCTGGTTAGTCGAATGATAATACCTCAAGGCCATCGCCCTTTCAAAAAAAAAAAAAAAAAAAAAAAAAAAAAAAAGTTCGAACCAACCAGCCCCATGTAGGCTCATCTGATTCTGTGGGGATTCGAATCCAGGGACCAGAGAGACTCTGGATGGGTCTTAGGGCAGAGACGCCGGAAAGCAGGTACGATATAGATTTTCTGCACCTCTTCACGAACACGTCCAAATTCCGGCGCTCAATCCAATCCTTTTTTTTTTTTTTTTTTGAGAAAACTTCATTTTAGGGGCACGCTTATGGGGTTGGTAAGAGCATCCCGGGCCTCCATAAGCGGCCCTACTAGTTGGAAGGCTCCATCTAGTCGTGGGGAGCGTCACCTGCTGGAAACCAGGTCCAGCGTCCTATTGTTACATATTGCATTGTGAGGAGTAAGACAGCTGGAATGCTACAACCTACGCCTGATTTCTGCTGTGGTTATTCTGATCCAGCTCTGGATATGCTACATGTCCAATATAGAAAGTACCCTACCTGTTAGAAAGTACCCCCGCTGTTCTCCACTAGCTATCGTTGCTGTAGAACCCCGGTGATTGATGAGTCCATACCAAAAACCAACATCTTTCTTTGGCAATCACCGGAGGGTGATTATCAGATCGTGCCGACGGGTAGAGTAAGACTAGGAGATCCCCGGGCCCCTTCCACCATTGGGTATGAAGACTGTCTGTACGCATACTCCGTGTGAACCCATATCCCGCTTCGTTCCTACCGTTGTCCAGTGAGTTGCTATCAGCCTTGAGTTGCCTTGGACATTGTTGCAGTCCCATACTCGTCTAGGGAGAACACCTGCTGATGTGCACTAAAATTGGCTGGCCCAATGAGATGTTCAATGCAGGGGGGGAAAGGAGGTGTGGGGGTATCGGGTGGAGAGCCTTGGGGAAGGGGAGGAGGGAGAGAGGGTGTTGGGGTCAGGGAATCGTGCGGGGGCGAAGGGGGGAA